CATCACGACCATTACACAAGTTATGAGTTAGCCGAGTCAGCCGGCTGACAGTGAAAACAGGAGAGCACACTAATAGGGACAAGCCTTAAAATTTTGCGGTATCAATGGACTCATATAATAAATAACATAAAACATTTCTAAAATATTTAAGTACTTCACTATTTTATTAAATTTCTTCACTTATTTTATTAAATTAAATCAATTTATAATTTACATTTTACATGATGTAAATTATGATAATAATCAATTTATTCACTTCTATTGAGTAAGTGTTTCTTATCGTTTTTGATATTCGAGTATATTCGATAAGATATCGTTTTTGATATTCGAGTATATTTGATATTCGATAAGATATTCGAGTTAATTCTTCTAAATCGTGATATGCACCATTCAAAAAATATTTATTTTACTTTAACAGTTAAAAAATAGAATATAATCTTTGGTATTATATACGTTAATACTTTAACTTAATTTTAAAAAATACTTTATTTATTTGTACCAGTTTATTTTTATGACTTATTTAACTATAAAAGCACACTAATAGGGACATTTAACCTGTATTTTAACGCTGAATACATCTATTTATGGTAAAAATCTTCATTATAAATAGACAATAAATTAACATTTGATACTCAAAATTTTTGATTTTGAATTTTATATTTGTATTATTTTGATAAATCAAAAAATTTTTTAATGGGCGATACAATTGCAGCGAACCATTATTTTTATTCTTGTATAACTTCCAAAAGATTATTGTATTTAATGCAAAAAATTTTTTTATATTGAATGATTATCTAATAATTATGTTTTTATTATTATATGTAGAACTAACTACAATATATTTTAAATATAAAATTTTTAGATCTTTTCTAGCACCAATCGTAAAAAACATAAAAAAGCATATGCAAATGAATAAAAAATGCAAAATAATTGATTTATACATAATAAGGTCGTAGCCAGTAACCCTTTTTTTAAAATTAAATAGCATTCATGTACTTACACATCTTTCACTGTCCCTGTTCCTTTATATTTTTGATTTTCAATATTTTAAAAAATATTGTACGAATTAATAGATCCCAATTATATGTTTTGCATAAGTACTTATTGGTATTTTTTATCGGTCAAAATGCAACACAGCACATCAAGTAGCAATA